CCGGAGTTGTCGCCGGAGTTCGTTGAAGTTCGCCGGAGTTTCGCCGGAGCTAAATCGGGAAGGCTAAAACTTCATAAGCTTCATTAAAGTGAGAAGATGGCTTTATGCTTAATAACTTTTCCGTGAGGCATGAGATTACCTAAAGTAATCAAGGATATTTTTTGTGGAATGATTAAAGATAATCAAGTATTTGCTTATGCCATGATTTTGCATAAAACATAGTTGAAAAGCATGTTATGTAGGTTTGGTGATTAAAAATGTGATAACATATTTTGTGTGATGATCCAGGGATGCCAAATGGTATTTTTGGATCAAGGACATCAATAATTATATGTGTATAAAATTTCAAGTTAATCGGACTCCGTTTGGGGGGTCAAAAGGGGCGTTGACCGCCAAGTCAACTGCCATACCCGACCGGGTATTGACACATACCCGACCGGGTATTTGCTGAAAAATTGCCCAGGGGGCTACTGTCTCCTATACCCGATCGAGTATAGGTAGATACTCGATCGAGTATACATGGAAAATTAGCTTTGGGGGCTACCGCCTCCTGTACTCGACCGAGTATGGGTAGATACTCGATCGAGTATTGGTTTATGCTCAAAACGGGCAGTTTTGAGCGGGTTAATGTGGGCCGTTCAGGTGGGACCCGCCCACATTGGTTCCTAAGGATGGTTATATGACTATAGGGCTAGGTATTGTCCATAGTTGAAGGAACGAAAGATTAGCCATATCCAGGTTAGGGTTTGGTAAGGATTTAGTTTGGGGTTGAGTATCCCCGGGACATGCAAATGATCCTGAAACTCGGTTGGGGTTGAGCATCCCCGGGACTATAAATGATCCTGAAACTCAGTTGGGGTTGAGCATCCCCGGGACATTAAATGATTCTGAAACTCGGTTGGGGTTGAGCATCCCCGGGACTATACATGATCCTGAAACTCAGTTGGGGTTGAGCATCCCCGGGACTGCAAATGATCCTGAACCTCGGTTGGGGTTGAGCATCCCCGGAACATTTAATGATCCTGAAACTCGGTTCGGGTTGAGTATCCCCGGGATGCTAAGTGCTCCCAAAACTCGGTAGGATATCATGAATGTAGAATGTAGCTGGTGAGCTAGGCATTCGGCAAAAAGGGTGAGAAAGGTCAGGTAAGAACTTTATCTCTAAAAGACTCTTTGAATGAAATGACCTACGGGTCGAGTATTTTACATATATATATACAGTATGTATCATCGGATGAATGAGTCATATATATATATATATATATATATATATATATATATATATATATATATATATATATATATATATATATATGTATCACCCTATTTTTGGGTCTCGTGTCTGAAACATTAGTTATTCTTCATATAGCCTGCTTGTCACTAGTACTTCTACAGAGTACTGACCCCTCCGGGGGGCCTCACATTTTTCAGGTTGAGGCTAGAGTCCTACTACCTGCACCTTTGCCTAGGGTGATTGATCGAGAAGGAAGACGTGGTTCGTGCTTCCATTCTTATTTCAAATGTATAAACCGCTCATGGATTTTTGAACAATATTTTCATTAAAACAGTTGGGGGCCTGCGTGCCCGTGTTTGCCACGTGCTGCTATACTCCAGAATCACCAAAATCAGAATAATGGAAATGATGTTGCTAAACGAGTAGCATCTCGCAACCCACCGAGTTTTCATGGGAAAGAAGATCCTCGTACCCTCGAGGATTGGATCCGACTCTTTGACAAACTCTTTGACGCGATGAACTGTCCAGAAGAGCAAAAAGTTGACATTGTTGTTTATTACTTACAAAAGGAGGGGGATAACTGGTGGGTCTCATCAGGCCCAACTCTACGTCAACAACCCAATTTCAATTGGGAAGCTTTCAAGATTGCCATGAGGAAACGTTTTTATCCTGCTCACGTCCAGGCCACCATGCATGAGGAATTCATACATTTGAAACAACTGGACATGAGTGTCCAGGAATATCACACTAAATTCCTGGACCTCGCGCCATTTGCAAAGACAATAGTGCCTGATGAGAGCACCAATATCACACAAAAAACCGTCGCTGTTTTGGGTTGCCAAACTCTGACGGATGCCTATGATAGAGCTGCAATTCACTATCGTGTTCAGCAGTTACAAAGAGAGAGAAACCAGAAAATGAAGAGGTACGGAGATGAGGAGAGAGGTCGGGGAGAAAAGAGGTTTAGGGCGAACCCACCTGCACAACAACAAGAACAGAGGGAGAGGAGATATGACCAAAGTGGAAGAAATTTCCGTGGTCAAAACCAGCAAAACGATCGGAGAGCTGCTCCTAGAGATGGGCACTTCTACTGCAAGAAGTGCGGGAGAGATCACCCTGCGGTTAACTGCGATGGGAGCCTAACCAAATGTTTCAATTGCGGGAAGCTAGGGCACCGATCCTTCGAGTGTCTGTCAAAGACCAATGGGGCACCATTGAACCAGGTGCAATATCATGATGGAAACCGAACCAGACCTAATGGCGGGCAAAACAACAACAATGCCGTCACCATCAACAACAACCGCAGCCCTCGAGGAGGAGGGGAGAATAATCACGGTCACGGTAATGGAGATAACCAAGGAAATGGCGGGAACAATGGCAATGGCGGAAATAACGGCAACCGTCCGAACCAAGGGCGAATCATGGTAATGAACCAAGCCCAAGCCAATGCCAATGATGTGGTCTCAGGTACATTCCTTGTAAATTCTGAGCCTGCTTATGTTCTATTTGATTCTGGTGCTTCTCACAGTTTCATATCTTCTAATTTCGTTAAGAGATTAAAGATTGAACCAACAGCTAGAATAGACTTGAATGTAAGAACTGCCTCAGATAAAATTGTAACTTGTGGAAATGTATACTCCAACATTTCCGTACTCATATGTGAGTCCAACCTACCTGGAGACTTAATCCAATTTGACTTAGAAGATATAGATGTAGTACTGGGCATGGACTGGTTGGGGAAGTACAAAGCTAGGATTATATGTGATGAACAGAAGGTGATCTTGAAGGGTCCAAATGGGAAGAGAACATCTTACAAAGCAATCACAACCAAGCCCAGTATGAAGTTGATGACTATGCGACAATTACGACAACATATTCGAAAGGGGTATGAAACCTACTTGTGTTTGATGAAAGAGGTGAATATAGAAGAGCCAAACATTGACCAAATTGTTGTAGTCAACGAATTTCCGGACGTATTTCCGGAAGAGATTCCGGGAATGCCGCCCGAGAGAGAAGTTGAATTCTCAATTGAGTTGATGCCCGGAACTGTACCAATTTCAAAAGCACCTTACCGGATGGCACCAAAAGAAATGCAAGAGCTGAAGGAGCAACTGGAGGAGCTATTAGAGAAGGGTTACATAAGGCCGAGTGTCTCACCTTGGGGTGCTCCGGTCTTATTTGTCAAAAAAAAAGATGGGAGTCTAAGGCTATGTATCGATTACCGGGAGTTGAATCAAGCAACTACCAAGAACAAATATTCATTACCCCGGATTGACGACTTGTTTGATCAATTAAAAGGGGCTAGCACGTTCTCTAAGATAGACTTGCGCTCTGGCTACCATCAAGTGAGAATATCCGAGAAAGATGTACCAAAGACAGCATTCCGCACGAGGTACGGACATTACGAGTTCACTGTGATGCCGTTTGGTTTAACTAATGCACCAGCGGTATTCATGGATCTAATGAACCGTGTATTCCGACCTTACCTTGATACCTTTGTAGTGGTATTCATTGATGATATCCTCGTATATTCAAAAACCCCGGAGGATCACGAGAAACACTTGAGACTCATATTGCAAACTTTGAGAGAGAACCAGTTGTATGCCAAACTCTCAAAGTGCGACTTCTGGCAGGATCGGGTAGCGTTCTTGGGTCACATTATTACCCAAGAGGGCGTATCCGTAGATCCATCCAAGATTAAGGCGGTGATTGAGTGGCGTGCACCTAGCTCGGTCACGGATGTAAGAAGTTTCTTGGGTTTAGCCGGTTACTATCGGAGATTTGTTAAAGATTTCTCCAAGATAGCAAGACCGTTAACCAACCTGACGAAGAAGACAACCAAGTTCTATTGGGATGAAGATTGTGAAGTGGCATTTCAAGAGTTGAAGAAAAGACTCACAACCGCGCCGGTCTTGACATTACCGTCAGGGACGGAGGGGTTCGATATCTATAGCGATGCATCTAAGAAGGGGTTGGGGTGTGTGCTTATGCAGAATAGGAAAGTGGTAGCTTATGCATCAAGACAATTGAAGGTGCATGAAGTTAACTATCCTACTCATGACTTGGAGTTAGCTGCAGTAGTGTTTGCACTGAAAATCTGGAGACATTACCTATACGGAGCACAATGTAAGATATACACTGACCACAAAAGCTTGAAGTACATATTCACTCAAAAAGAGCTTAACATGAGGCAAAGAAGATGGATCGAACTTCTAAGTGATTACGACCTGAAAATCTAATACCACGAGGGAAAAGCTAATGTGGTGGCGGATGCTCTGAGCCGGAAATCTGAGCACTCATGCCGAGCAACATGGATATTACCAGAAGAACTATTCCAAGACTTTCAAAGATTGAACTTGGAAGTAAAAAAAAATATGGCGAAGTAGATAGTGAAATACAGTTATGTACTATGACCGTTACACCATCTATCTTCGAGGAGATCAAGAATGGGCAACCGGGAGATGTGAAGCTCGAGAGAATCAAGGAAAGAATGAAAGATGGGGTCAATGGACCATTCAGGACACATGAAGATGGGAGCATCCGATACAAGGGAAGGTGGTGTGTTCCTCTGAAGTGTGCATATATTAAAAGACAAATCATGGAGGAGGGACACAACACTCCCTACTCAGTACATCCCGGGGGAGACAAGCTATACAAAGACCTCAAAAAGAACTTTTGGTGGCCGGGAATGAAGAGAGAAGTACCTGAATTCGTATCCCGATGTTTGAATTGTCAAAAAGTCAAAGCAGAGAGATGTAAACCCAAGGGACTTGTGCAACCCTTGGAAGTACCTAAATGGAAGTGGGATTCCATCTCGATGGATTTTGTTGGAGGGTTACCCTTAACTAAATCAGGAAGAGATAAGATTTGGGTAATCGTTGACCGATTAACCAAAACTGCAAGATTTATTCCCATGAATGAAACTTGGAGCATGGACAAGCTCGCCAAAGCCTATGTGAAATACGTGGTCAAACACCACGGAGTACCTCAAGACATCATATCGGATCGAGATTCACGATTCTTATCTCAATTCTGGAAGGAATTACAAACGGCTATGGGGACAAAATTGAAGTTAAGTACTGCTTTTCATCCAACCACGGATGGGCAGACCGAAAGAACAATCCAAACGTTAGAAGACATGTTGAGGGCATGTGTTCTTGATTTGCAAGGATCATGGGATGAGCACCTAGACTTAATAGAGTTTTCGTACAATAACAGTTACCATGCTAGCATCGGAATGGCCCCGTACAAAGCTCTATACGGTCAAAAGTGTAGAAGTCCCTTATGTTGGGGTGACATTGTCGATCAGGTGGTTCTAGGACCACAATACTTGCAAGATACCATAGAGAAAGTCAAAGTCATCCAAGAGAGGATGAAGGCTGCCCAAGACCGACAGAAATCATATGCCGATCTTGGGAGGAAGCCAGCTGAATTCGAGATAGGGGAGAAAGTTCTACTCAAAGTCTCTCCTACAAGGGGAGTAATGAGGTTCGGGAAGAAAGGGAAACTAAGTTCGAGGTTCATCGGACCCTACGACATCCTAGAGAAGGTGGGAAAAGTGGCATATCGATTAGCTCTACCCACAGAGTTGGATAAGGTAACAAACGATTTTAAAACAAGATAATTTTCAACGATTAGATTTCATCCTTAACATACAGAGTTGTGCTAGGTACATAACTTCTTTAACGTATCACAATTAAAGAAGTACGTTCGAGATGAGTCACATATCATCAATCCTGAGGTAAGAGACCCTAAACTTAACATGAACCAAAGTAAACTGGAAATAATATAAGTTAACCCTTATATTATTAGGTGATTGAAATGGATGAGGCGTTATCCTACGAAGAAAAACCCGTAGAGATCCTTGATACTAAAACCCGAGAGACGAGGAAGAAGAAAGTTAAGATGGTAAAAGTACTTTGGTCAAACCATTTGACCGAGAATGCAACATGAGAGACAGAAGAGGATATGCGTAAACGGTATCCTGAACTGTTCAACTAAGGTAAATATTGGGTTACGAGGACGTAACCTTTCCTTTAGGGGGGCAGGATGTAACATCTTATAAACTTGTAATACCTCATCTTCATACTGAATTCTCGTCTTAGTTTATGCTTCGAGGACGAAGCATTCTTTAAGGAGGGTAGAATGTGATACCTTGAAAATTTGAAATAAAAATAAATAAATAAATAAATAAATCAGATAAGTTATATCTGATAAATCAAATGAAAGTAATATAAAAATATTTTGTATTATACTTGGTGTATAAAAATATATGCATGCTACATGCAATAAAATTAAACACTTATGTGGCATCGAAAAAATAAAATAAAAAATAAAATAGAAAAAAATCAGATAAAATATAGATGACGGAATAAATAAATAAATAAATAAATAAATAAAAATAGTAAGAATATTAAAAATTACTAATAATAGCATCAAATTAATAAATTAAAATATCAGATCATAAAACAATGACACATGCTAGGATCACCTACCAAATAATGTATATACATTATATACATATTTTTACATATATAATTATATATATTTATATGTAAAAATTAAAATAAAATAAAATAAAATAAAATAAAATTAAACATCAGCATAAATGGGAATCAAATCATGAATCAATACACATGCCATGTTGATACGTTCGTAATTTCCATTTCTATGTTTATGTTTTTAATTAGTTTTGCTTGACTTTTACTTTGGAAATTACACACTTTTGGTGTAATAGATTAGATTGTTAAATTCTTGTAAATAGGTTAGATTAGATATATTCTGAGCTTAAGCAGGTTTTGGTCACCCAAAGTACAGTTGGTGAACCCAAAAAGTGAAGAGAAGGTGCAAAAGTTCAAAGACAAAAAGAAGATCCTGAATTTTGGTCTATACTCGATCGGGTATTAGGTTGGAACTTCAAATCGGATCAGATCCGAAGACAAAGGAACATGCAGGGAAGATTTTGGCCACGATTCTATGTCTATACCCGATCGGGTAGACCGACATACCCGATCGGGTATGCCTTTAAATTGCAAACGAAGATCGGTCGAGTATAGCCCGAATATCACTTTCTAAGCATACTCGACCGGGTAATCATATATACTCGATCGGGTATACACTTAGAAAATAGCCTGAAACCGGTCGAGTATAGCCCGAATACCACTTTCTAAGCATACTCGACCGGGTAATCATATATACTCGATCGGGTATACACTTAGAAAATAGCCTGAAACCGGTCGAGTATACCTCGGATCGGGTGTTACACACATACTCGATCGGGTACCATGTATATACCCGATCGAGTACCCGATTCCCATCCCAAAAACCTATAAATACACCTCCTTTCCTTCACAAAAAGATATCCAATCCCTTTGTACATCTAAGCTCAGTATAGAATAGTTCTTTCTTTATATTTTTCATCATGTTTAGCCTCCAAATGAGGAGCTAAACTCTTCCATCTTGGTTTTGCTACTTTGAAGCTTAATGAATTTGTAAGTTGTGAGTTATTTTCTTTAATCTTCTTCCTTGAATATTAATTCTTTCTTTCAAAATACTATCTCTATATCAAAGTTGGGGAGTGTTACTAAGATGACAATTAGTTAACATCTTGACATTGGTTATAGTAATAGCTATTTCTTCCTCTATGATTATATTGGGGAGTGTTGCTAAGATGACAATTAGTTAACATCTTGATATTAATCATAGTAGGATTCATATATTTTAATATTCTTCCTTGAGTATTGATTAATTCCTATTCATATTTCATGTTAATATCTTAAACATTACTTAAAGTATCAACTAGTATTGTTTCTCATATTAATTATTACTAGAATCAATCGGTTAATACGCTTGTTATTAATCCGGTTCTTTCAACGGTAGTAAACTTGGAATATTAATGCATGCATCTCATGGTTAATATGCCAAGGGGAATTAATTATATTGATTAAACCAATAAACCGCTTGTGTTGAGGTTATCAATCTCAATCGTTTTCATCTTAAGTTTATTGCTACTATCAATTTAATATACGGCGCTTGTTCTATATTGACTCGATAGTAAGTTTTATTAATGAACGCATCTCGTTATTAATAACTACCCTCGATGAACTGGATATACTCCTCGATTGAGTATTCGAGAGGAAGATAGTTAAAGATATAACCGGGATCGACGAAGATTTCATTAAGTGGATAAAAGCAAAACCAAGTCCCCATCTCATTGAATTAAACTCATATAGGTCGTTTATCTTAGTGTTATTAAACCAAACAAATCTAAACCCCCCTTGTTATTATTTATATAAAAGAAAAGTATTCCTTTCCCTGTGGATACGAACCTTACTACACTATACTACGTATTAGTGTTGTATTGATTATTTATTTTGAGTGCACCTAACGACGAGTGCACGTCAAATTTGGCGCCGTTGCCGGGGAAAGGCAATAAATTTTTCTTTTATTTCATATCAAGAAAAATCAAAAAAAAATATATATATATACCAAACAAAAAATATAAAGAGTGTTTTTCTATTTTTTGAGCTTAGTGGAGTTTATGGTTAAACATCGTTCCATAAACGAAATCACATATCACAAAAACCCAGAAATAGAACAAACTTTCGAGCGGTTGAAAAGTAAATTTTCTAACACCGACTCGGAAGAATCATCTTCCAGAGATTCATACACCGCTAGCTCTAGTTCTAGCGACACCGAAGAGTCAACCACAATGGCTCTTGAAACAAGGACACTGAGGGAGCTCACTGCTCCAAACCTCAACCAACAACCACTGTGTATTACATTCCCTACACTTGATGAGGGTAATACGTTTGAGCTAAAATCTGGGCTCATTCATCTGCTGCCATCCTTCCATGGCCTGAGGGGAGAAGACCCGAACAAACATTTATCGGAGTTCCACGTCGTTTGCACAAGCATGTGCCCAAACGGTGTGACAGAAGAACAAATCAAACTGCGGGCATTTCCATTTTCACTGAAGGATACCGCAAAGGATTGGCTATTCTATCTTCCTTCAGGAAGCATAGGAACATGGGCGGCCATGAAGAAAGCGTTCCTGGAAAGGTACTACCCTGCCTCTGTCTCATCCTCTCTAAAAAAACAAATCAGCAACGTGGAGCAGAAGGATGATGAATCGTTCTACGAATATTGGGAACGATTCAAGAAACTGTGTGCAAGCTGCCCTTATCATGGCTATTCGGAGCAAGACCTCATCTTATATTTCTATGATGGTCTTTGCAATGAAGATAGGCGGATGATAAACGCCGCATGTGGAGGAGGGATTGTCAACAAGACCCCTTCTCAAGCTACAAACCTCATCTCGGAGTTGGCCGAGAATTGTAGGCACTATGATCGGCGATCAACAAAACGAGTTATGGCGGCAGAATCCAACAACTCATTGGAAAGTCAAGTAGCCGGCTTGACTTCTTTGGTTAAAGATTTTCTCTTAAATCCGAAACCTCAAGAAGTCAAGGTCTGCGGCATATGCTCGACACAAGGGCACCCCACCGACTCTTGCCCAACACTACAAGAGGAGAACGTTGAACAGATCAATGCTTTGGGTTTCCAAAATCAAAAGAGGTATAATCCTCAAAGCAACACCTACAATCCGGGATGGAGGGATCATCCTAATTTAAGGTACGGAAACTCTCAAACTCCTCAACCATCAAATCCTCCTCCTCCACAATATAAACAACAAGGCCAAACTTCTAACTCGAATATGTCAACCGAAGACATGATTCGATCACTTGCCATGAATATGGCAACAATGCAACAAAGTGTGGTTCAATTCCAAGAAACAACAAAATCCAGCATCCACAACTTGGAAAACCAAATCAGCCAAATCTCAAATGCCGTGAGTAGGCTTGAAGCTAAGGATTCGGCAAGGCTACCATCTCAAACGGAGCCAAATCCTAGGCAACAAGCCCATGCAGTCACATTGCGGAGTGGCAAGGAGTTGGTTATTGCCAAAGAGAAGGCAAAGAGCCACATTGGCGAAGAGGAGGAAGAAGAGGAACTGGTGGAAGTGACTCAACCGGAGGTGGAAGCTCAAATCCCAACCCCACCACCGGTCATTCCCGAGATTGAAGCACCCTTCCCCGAGGCTCTAAGGGAAACACGAAAGCTGGAGAAGGACAAGGACATCTATGAGACATTCTCCAAATGTGAGGTAAATATCCCTCTCCTTAACTTGATAAAGGGTGTTCCTAGATTCGCAAAATTTTTCAAAGAACTATGTACAATAAAAAGGAAACATAGACTCAATGGAAAACAAAAAGTCCAAGTTAGTGAACGTGTTTCGGCAGTTTTTCAAAAGAAACTTCCAAAGAAATACAATGACCCGGGCATGTTCACTATACCTTGCATGTTGGGAGGAACTACGTTTTCAAAAGCCATGCTCGATTTAGGAGCATCAATTAATGTCATTCCTTACTCTTTATACAAATCACTTGAGCTTGGCCCTTTAAATGAAACCGGAGTAGTCATTCAACTTGCGGATAGATCAAATGCCTACCCTAAAGGTATTGTCGAAGACGTACTAGTTATGGTTGACAATTTGATTTTCCCCGCTGACTTTTATGTTTTGGAAATGGAGAATGATAAGAATGCGGTACCTATCCTTTTAGGAAGGCCATTTTTAAAAACCGCTAGAGCAAAGATTGACGTATTTAGCGGTTCCTTAACAATGGAATTTGATGGGGATAAAGTTGAATTCAACATTTATGACTCCATGAAATATCCAAATGAAAATCATTCTTTATTTGCCATTGATATTGTTGACCCCCTTGTACAAAATACTTTTGAAATCAATAAAGAGGACGAATTGTTAAGTATACTTGAAAATGACTTCGGGGAAAACTCTTCAGAACTTGCCCTGACCCCCAACACACAAGCTATGATAGTGGAATTGGATACTCACTTCCAACTCCCACTTATGCCACCGGGGTCTAGGGCATTTCCACTAACCATCCCCGAGGAAAAGCCTCTACCTTCAGTTTTGCAGGCACCCGACGTTGAGATGAAACCACTCCCAACACATTTGAAATATGTGTTTTTGGGGGAAAAAGAGACACTACCGGTCATTATCTCAAACAAATTGACCGGAGAACAAGAAGGTAAATTGATAGCGGTGCTCAAGGAGCATAAACTAGCAATTGGATGGACTATAGCCGACATCAAAGGCATTAGTCCATCTACTTGCATGCATCGCATCTTAATGGAGGATGAGGCCAAGCCGGTACGAC